CGACTTTTCAAGTACTTGATTTACTGTGAAGCCTTAGGTTCGGCTCATGAAATGTTCGGAGTCTGAATCGAACCTTGTATAAAAGGATATAGAGTACTGAATACACAAGGAAGATTTTAAACAAATCTGACCGGCAACGATTGCAATTATTGTTGAGGATCAGTCTTACTGAGGGGGGAACGTTATTAGGTAAAACAAAAACAACAACCTCCAGCACACAGTTCACGGTTTTAATTTGAATTAAGCAAAATTTAGATTAATGCAGAATTAAGCCAATAAAATTTCGTTCTCATAGATGATCGTCACCGCGATAGCTGAAAGTTTTGTCCAGATTTGCTTCAAGCGAGCCTCATCAGAAATCTCCCTGAAAAGCTGAATTAATTGGTTGAGAAAACAGCCTAACTAAACTAGTTTTGTTTTCCTCTATTTTCTCTACATTAGGTGCGTCATGAGTTTCAGAGAAAAGCTTCCCATCTAAGTCTTATGAGAGGTTTTACCAGCCCTTCCTCGCCCACCACTATCCGAATGTCTCGAATATCACAGCAAGATTTCAATAAAAAGAATGGATGGGTTGGGGGGAAACTGTAGTGCCATTTAAGGTGGAAAATCATGACAAAATCCCATTCACAGCAAATTAAAGCTTGGACATGTTTAAAAATCTGTTCAGGCGGTTAAACACGATTTAAACTTGTTTCATTCATAAAAACTGCTTACTGATTTGTATAGTGATTACAAACTTAGCACAAATTACAAAAGAGAAAAAAAATGTTGAATTTCGTTTGAATCTTTTGTGAAAACCTGTGTTCCAGTTTTCCGTGTCTATTTTTCATTTTTTAAACTTGGTTTAATTACTAAACATGTTTTATAGTTGGTGTTAAGGGGGCAAACGTCTATCAACAGTGATCTGTCCAATGCCCCGTCCACACGTATCCGGATATTTTCTCTTTGTCTTATTCGTCTGTCCACAGGAAGAGGGTGTTTTAATTTCGGGCACCAATGCAAAGACGCAGGTTTTCGAAAACAGTCCCCCGCCGAGTGGAGTCTTATGAAAACGCCGAATTGTCGTTTTCACGCGGACGCACGAAAACAGAGGTCTTCGCGCGAATGACCTGATGTCATTCATCGCACAGCACATCCTCTGTAAGGGATGCGGCTATAGTTACATGGTTTTAGAGTTTTCGTGTTGACGGCAAAAATGAAGAATAAAACAAAAGATTTGAATACACAACTTTTGGATGCATACATTTTTAAAAAGAAGAAAAATTCCCGTTTTCAAAAGTGCCCGGATGCGTGTGGACGTGGCCTTGGTTACACGCTCTGTTTTCAGCAGAAAACTGAGTCTTTTGCAAAGACTTCTGGGACTGTTAATAGCGACAGAAAAAAAAAAAAGCGCTGTTCTTTTGCGTGTTTCCATCGTAAACGAAGCGGGCGTGGAACGCGAGACACCGACGCGCTTGTCTCCCGCTCTACGTAAACGTGCTCACTTGAAGAACGCAAAACAACAGGCTAGAAATTTACTTTCGTACGGATAATAAATCTATCTGGAGGAAATACTTCATAGTACGGTCTTCGGTCTCCTTTTGTTTGAATCGTCACAGTCCTCAAGATCTATAAAGACACTTCGCGTAGAGCGAAAGTGATAGTACTGCATTTCCCCCTTTTCACCAAAATGATAACCAGCTACTTGTAAATATAACTAAAATTGGCACAAACTTAGTGGTCCAAGACCAAAATATAACCTTGACAAAGTATGATCCTCAGAATAAGTGTTTCATACGTACCCTACATTTTTATAATGACAACATGAGTTATTCACATCATTTCCCACGCAATAATTTAAAAAAAAACTGACCCATACAGGACTCTGTAAGCTTTTTGGCAAAATACGTTTTAAGGAGCTGTGTCACGGCCGTTCAGTTTAATAATTGTTGTTTTTGTTTTGTTTTTTCATATGATGCCAATTACACGTGCCCTTTTTTTATTCGCTACGGGGCTCGCGAAATACTTGCGAATGACAAAATCAAGGATTTGTGTTAGAAGAAATTCAGAGTGTCCCCCAAGCGTTATATAAAATGTCACAAGAAACAAAATATAAACTTTAAAAAACTGTTAGGCGAACATCTTGTCAAAAACCACGCTTGCAATCCGTTTCAGTCTTCTTCAAATTAATTTTCCGTTCGTGCCTCAGTTTTGTATTCGCTCTTAGTTGTTCATGCCTTCTTCAGTTCTATGCAGTTATTTTTATGCTTGGTGGCAGTTCCCAACTTGTTTGAATTTTGATGAATTTCGTGACATAGCTCTTTTAAGGAAGCGGTTTTCAACAGTTTTTTTACTTTTTTTAATTTTTGGACAAATCCCTCGTTGATACTGCTCTGAGATCAAGTTCCGGTCGTAGAATAATACAACACAGTGTACAAATGTATAAAGACGAATTTCTTTTAAGAAATTAAAATTTCTGATGTTCACTTTCTATATACACGATAAATTTTGCATGTACTTTCATATTCTTATAATGTATATTTATTACCGTAAGATTCATAACTTTTCACTGACCAATAGCTCACGGTATCAGTCTGATTAGTCATCGTTGCCTGCAAGGTGACTCTGAGATTAAGAAAAACTTTTGTCTTTGTAGTACGTGTATATCATTTCCAGTATAATTTTATATTGTTACCCACTCATGCGATCAGTGCCTTGAGTTAAAAACTATTGTCCTGCACCTTATACCAATTAATAATAAATAAATGAATAAGTAATTGAATAAAAATAAATAAAAATTTTTCATCTAAAAGGCGAAGTTTTGCCTCTGTTTCATAAGTTTTTACATTAAGATGCATTTTATTTGTTGTTTAAAGCATTATATACAAACTGAACAAAGCAGAAAGAGGCTTGTTTTGAATTCGAGTGTCTCGCTAACAATCGTTGTTATATTGTCTGGATGATGCAGATTACAAAGTTATACTCACTGACTATTTCCCTCGAATAAACGCCACATTCTACTAATTGGGTGCGCCGTTTATTCCTGAGCGGCGTTTAATCGACAAGTAATTACTGCAAGTGGAATCCGAATGACAGAATGTCCCTTTTTCGTGCGCATTCATTGATTTGAATGTGCCAGATGGAAAATGTCTGTGCAATATATTAAAAAGAGAAAAAAATCAACCACACCGGCATCTTAAACTAACTTCGCATTCTATGTACCCCCCCCCCCACCCCCCCAATGTGCAGTCGAGTGCATAAGAAGGGGTTTGGCATGATTCCTCGCGAAGTGTCAAGCCGCGAGGTTTATAATCTCCTCGCGCGTGAAGCGCGCGTGTATTACACAAGCATCGCAAGGCCAGCGTGATTTCCCTTTGGCTATAAATGTATCATTTGCTGGCACTGTCTCAACAAGCTCATGCATGTTTAGAATGGAGACCAATGGAGAAACTGATCATCTTCAACATGACTTGTTTGTGGACATTTCATACAAATTCACTCTTGCATGGGGGTTTGTTTCTTATGCATGTACACGAATACTATGAACACTTGCCTAAGTGGTAAAAAATTGGTACTTTCTACGTGGATTCAGTGCTTTATGGTGAATGCCCACACATTCAATAATCATAAGTCATGATCACTTTAGTAATTCTAGGGGTGGCGAATGGTACCTCGAAAAACGTGGGTCTCGAAAAATTTTGGTAGGAACTCGAAATCTCGAAAGCATTTTTGATCAGTCTCAAAGTCTCGTTTTAGCATGGTTTGTTTTTACCTTTTTTTGAGTCTCGAAACTTTTTACCAAAGAGTCTCGGGCTCAGATTTCTAACTAGGACCTCGGCGTCTCGGCGAGTCTCGGATTTTACCATTCGCCACCCCTAATTCTCATGAACCGCATCCTTAATGACATTGCTACTTGTAATTTTCTATTTCAGTGACTGTGTTTGCACTTTACTGTTACAAACAATAGTTGGCAAGTGTGATTATGTACCAAAA